AAAAAAAATGCTCCTGGTCTCACTCAGGAGTCAGGAGAATCTTTTTCTTGCCTAAAGATTGATTCTTATGAGAAACAAGTAGTACATGCGCTACACTGCAGGGGAGCTCAAGTAGCAAAAATGAGATTTGGATTGTAGCAAGAAAGGGCTATTTAGTCTCGTTTTTTGGACATCGTCAAATGTTGTTTCCGTTTCGTTTTCGGAGATGTTATTCCTCTATCCAAAATCCCAAAGGGCAAGACACGCATAAATATTCAAGAAAGGGAAAGATCCATGTCAGTCTAAGGATTTCCAGATGCGAAAGAATCGATGCTTCCAATTTTTAACAGTAGTGGATTGGTAGATTTTTCCATTCAACCAAATAGAAGGACAAAAATTTTGAGTATTATTTTGTTTTTGGAAACCCCTGCAAAAACATAGAGCCGAAAATAATATAGAGACAGGGTCAGATTTATAGTTACAATACCTGGTTTTGAGCATGGATAAAGATCCCCAGGCTGCCCATTTATCAAGAAAGCATCAGATACATTCGGGCCTCCTCCATTACTCAGGAATTCGGAAAGAACCGTTTGTACATCGCTCTTCCACCATTCTGCTGCATTAATCATGATTAATTTTGGCCTAAATTTGTCAAAAGTCATATCATACCCAACAAAAAAAAAAAAAGAAAAATTGTAGTAGATGTATATGGATTACTTAAAAGTGCTTATTTCTACCTAAGATGATAGGGAATTCAGCATGAGGCTGGGGAAATGGATAGTTTTCTCCTCTCTTCGGGTAAACAATAAAAGCACCATGGACTTTGGTGGTAGGCCAATCACTATGAGCATGCCACCATAATGTTCCAATCTCATCAGTTACCTCAATATTTTGGATAAAAGATTTTCCAGACATGATAGGGCACTGAGTGATGTACACGGGACCGTCTGCCCTTGGATTCCTTGGCAGTTTCAATCCATGCCCAGTAACAAAGTCAAAACAATTAATTTGAGATTACGAACAGTTAAGTAACACGGGATGCTTTTGAACTATTTTCTTGCAAAAGGGAAAAAAAAATAATAATTCTGCTACATACCAGTGAATAGTGATGTTTTGGTTTCCCTTGTTGTGGACATGAACAATGGCTGTATCTCCTTGACGGATGTGTACACTTGGTCCTGGAAATTGTCCATTTACGGTCAAAATGTTCTTAGTGCTGCAAAGTCTTGTATATGGAGTCTCTTCAATCTGCATGAGAGCATAAACATATAAGATAAGTTCTTAATTTTGACATTAATTCTCCATTTTGGAATGAGTTGTAATGCATTTAATGATAATGTGATATATGTTCATGCATGATGTTGAACTTTGTTATTAATTCACGGAGTCAGCTTCAAGGAAATGCATATTTTGCTGGATGGCTGTTTTAACCTTCAAGATCTTCAGTGAACCTTTAATTAATGCAACTAATGAAGCCAAGAACTTGTTAAATGAACAATATGGTATCGTAATGAAAGTGTTTGCAGAAAATCTTCACGTACTGATAGAGGTTAGATAATGAAGGAATAGCATATATCTATCTGTCTTTTCTCATCATTGTACACATAAATTAATAGTAGATCACTTCCTGTTTTTCCCCAGAATAAGTACTCCAACCTTCTAAATTGTATTTTACGTTTTTGGTAAATTTCCTGATCTTTTTATTATTGATGAACAAAAGAATGCACCATTGAATTGGGCAAAACCCTGCAACATCAGCCAATCAAAGAAGTTAAACCATCATCCTATCAGACAAGTATGCTACACAAGTCCTATTATTACAATATACAAGACTTGAAAACAGCAAAATGGGATTCCTAATTTAATAGTACAAAGCTTTACGTAAATTGTCTGTATGTTGTTGAGCCTTACTGGTTCAAATCTTGGAAAATTCTTCAGATCAAGGATGGGCCGGCGATTGCCATTGGCCATCACAGATTACGAGAGTTTTGTTCCTTCATTTCTTTCTCCTATTGTAAGTCTATTTTAATTACTATTCTCTCCATTTATTTAACTTTATTTAGTTGTCCATCTGCCAATATCTTAACTATTAAATTTTAGACATATAATCTGAGCATGCCATGAAATTTGTACCTTTGAGTAGATTATTTTACTGAAAAATCAACTCTGTCGATGATTACTTTACTGTTAAATCGATCTATATATTTGAAGACAACTTTTCAAATTCTATCTCTTAGAGAGCTCTATACCTCCAATCCTTTTTTCTTATAATTTTGATTTATTTTAATTAGATAAAATAATATTTAATGTTTAGATCATATACTTTTGATTTATTTTAATTAGATAAAACAACATTTAGTGTTTAGATTACATACTTACCGTACGGAAGCTATCAATTAGCAGCAATCCTAAAGTCAACTAATTAAAGAAAACCTAACAGACCATCTCAAATTAAAAACTTACCAAACTTATAAATGTGGTCATAACCAAAAAGAAAATAAAAATACCCCACACCATTTAATTTGGCAACACTAAAATTAAATGCAACGTAGCAGATGAGGAAAATTAGATAAAAATAACATTTAATTATTGGGATTATATACTTACCACATATAAGCTATCAATTAGCAGCATTTTCTAAAGTCAACTAATTATAAAAAGGGTCTATCAACGGATGGTCATTGGGCACTTATTAAGATATATTTCAAGTGTCATATTTTTAGAAATATAAGATTAATTAGAAAAAGTAAATAAATACAAGAGATGGTATGTAAGATCAAATAGAGAAAGTATACAAATGCAAGTAAGGGTAATAATTGTTAGTATTAGTATATACATCGTCGTAGTTAGAGATGAATTTTAGATGCATTAATGGTGCACAATAGATACACATTAGAAAAACACTTAAAACCTAACAATATTTCATAACCATTTAATGACCATAACCAAAAAGGAAATAACAATATTCCAAACCATTTAATTTGGCAACACTAGATAAAAGGCAATCTACCAGATTAGAAAAATTAATGCTGACATTCAAATCAATATGGAAGTTACAATATGTCAAACCTTCTTTCCGGTAATTTTAACTTCAATACATAAATATGTTTTTCCTCTTTAAAAAAATTAATTTTTGACTCATCGAACATCTTTATATTATACCATTAGGCCTTCGCACCCTAAAAAATAGTTTAAGAAGTGAGACTTTCCCTCACACTTACAACCAAGCACCATATCCACCTTCCACAATCGATGGAATAAACTCAATAATCTCCACCTTATACATAGAGTCCTAAGTTGAAATAATAGTATCAACCTTTCACCTGATAGATATTAAGTTGGGACAATGGCAACATTTCATCCAAATATTGACCGGAAGGAGTTGTTAGAACTGGCCTCTGACATCAATGCTGGGCGCTATTAGGCCTTCCCACTCCAAGAGCTAGCTGTTGCGGTGAGGCCCAATAGCACTCAACTTCCTTAATCAATCGGCAATAATTTTTTGGGATTAACCACATGCACCTTCTTGCTTCTGGTGTGGCTAAAAGCCTACAAATCATATACCCGTCTTAACAGTGTCTAGACCCATCTAAGTGATGTCTTGAAACAACAAAGATGCCCCCTTATTTAGAATATCTGAAAAAAAAAAATCGAAAACAGTGAAAGCATTCTTAAGCCACATAATTGCTCAAAGCCCATAAAAGCGAAGAGCATTATCTCATGTTTTTAATGAGGGCGTCGATATCGGATAAGAGGGTGTACGCAAGTTCAAGTTACAAATAATTAGCCACTAGTTTCTTGGATAAGAAATTACTGCCAGTCCCAGGTTAGGCCACGCTAGGAAAATTACAGCCACGTCCTTTAGGAGGATTTGGACTTTGGCTAGTATATCACCACTCAAAAATAAATGTAAAGGAAATATTGTATTATTTGTTCGATACTTCTTCCTGTCAAATAATTGTGCAATCAAAGTCCATTTTTAGACCGGGTTATATTGAAAATGGAGGAATGTACATTGGATTAATATTTAAGGGTGGTTCAGCAGCAGCTATTACTTGATGGATCAAGTGGAAGACCATAATCATTTTGGGATCAGAGACTTCTAGATTTATGTTTTTGAGTTGTAAAGGAAATTTTGTGATCAATTAGATAAATGCTTGATATTGTGAAACTAGACCACGACATTGCGGCCTGAATGGAGGCCTAACCTACTTCCTTTGGGATTGAGATCCTCAGCAGAGTCACAGTTAGCTCTTGTCATCCAATTCATTCTCTCCTCATCTTTCTCTATGTTTCTTAGTATTTTGCTTTTCCTCTGGAATGCTTCTAGTCAATTCAAAGAAATTGGTAGAATCAAATTTATAATAGATTCATACATGAACTGTATGAGGTTGGAGCCGGGGATTTGGGGAAGAAGAAAGTTTCCTTGTAGAGAGAAGAATAGAACCACAGTTTTTCTGATTGGCCGGAATTAAACTTGAGTTTTATGACATAATTAAAGAAGGATAAGTGTCACCATGTTAGGATGTTTAACAAGGTATTACACTTTCATGTAACAGAAGAGTCATAGTGATGGAATTGGAACTGTTTTGCAGGTCATTTGCTAGCAAACACAAGGGATGAGGAAATATTTAACAAAGAAACAGGTTTTAATGCAGTCTTATGTTCCTTGCCCTCTCTCTCTTTCTCTCTCTTTTATTTTTCTTTTATTGGAATTCCTGTTTCGTACTTCCACCTTTCCAAGTCCTTGCTTTCTCCGACTACAAATTGAAAAGAAATAATGAAAACTTCATACCAGTATAGTTCTTTATTTTTGATTCAACAAAAAATTGAAAAGTATTAGTGTAATCCAGTACAGCCAATAAGATAAGAAGAATGAGTATTTTCCTTTTCTTCGGTTTTAAGAAATAAATGAAATGAATGACAATTATCAAATATTGAATATAATATATGTCACTTATATAGAAGCCTGGACTATTAAACTTCTAATTTGAGTGTGTGCACACACACACACACATGGATCAACAAGGTGGCATGTCTGAAGGTGGAGGGAGCAACTGTTCTTGTGGGCTTTTGCCATTTTTAACAATGAATACCATCTCCATCCCCCAAGTTGCATGACGCTCTAGGTGGCAGTGCATCAGCCATACTCCTGCAACAAATCACGCAGCCCTGTTATCTCACTATAAGAATTGCGACAGCAAGAATGAACACGATATTAATTCAGAAAAAAGGCCTTGAGGATGCATGTATTCTTCTTAATTAGTCAAAACGTAAAATAATTGTACTAATCATCAAGCCCTAGATAGCTAGCCGCAGCAATATATATTTCAATGTTCTTCATAATTGCCCAGGAAAGTAATTAGATTAATACTATAAAAGTCATGAACATGTTGTCCATAAACTGTGTGAGAAATGCGGAGTTGTCTGGAAACAAAATTTCGTCAGGTTTCCCGGTCTTTTAATCTTTGAAAATACAGACCCAGAAAAGAAGAAGTGACACGTACCAGGATTATTTGCCTTGAATCTGATGGTTGTCCAGCCATTTCTAGGAACAGCAATCGTGTTCCTTAGAGGAGGGTCAACAAGATTATAGTTCAAAGGGTCTTTTTTTTCATCAAAGTTTCCGATGCCCGAACCAACTACATAGAAACTATGGCCATGTAAATGCATAGGGTGATCTGGTGACCAAACCAAACTTGTTGCCTGTAAAACAATCTCCACATTGGAGTTGTACTCAAGAACTTTAACTTTTGTACCCAGAGAAGGTATCGTCAACTTGAATGGGAAAGGTTGTGCAGTGAAATTAAATTTCAAAGGTGGGAAACTCGGGAATTGTTCTTCATAGACCCCTCTAAGACCACCATAGTAAGCTTGAAGTATGTTAATTTGAGGTTGAACAAAGCTTATGTTATTGATGCTCGCTGCAAATCTGTGACCGGCAGGTCCAGTACAAGTATTGTTTGTCTCACAAGGGCGTAAATTGACAGAAATTGTCAAGAAAAGCTTAGTGTCCAAATTTAATGGAACATCTACTTTGCTTGCTAAGTTTCTTAGGCCTCCTGTGAAATTAACAGACGCTTTTGTATCATTTAAAAGTGGAAGGCGTGGGAAGGATAATGGTGAAGATGGAGTGTAATTTCCGCTGTATTCTATGATTCCAGTCGTGGTAGAGTGGTCGAAAGGGACGGGTAGAGCGCTGTTATAAACCTTAGCAGCCATGTAATAGTGATCAGGTGCTTGATTGGCTTCTAACAAGAAGTCAATGGTTTGTCCTGGGGATATAGCAATATAATCACTCTTGAACGGCTTTGTGTAGCTTCCGTCTGATCCAACTACAGTAATTTGATGCTTTGCAATGGAAAAGAAAAGAATGTTGTTCATGGCAGCATTGATCATCCGGAGCAAATAAGTTTTGCCGTATTCCGCTTCCAGCTTAAAGGTGTCTGAAAGTGATGGAGTTTTTATTAGATATTCAGGGTAGATACATTCAGCAGAGGTCAGAGAAGCTTTTCTTGCCTAAAGATTGATTGTTATCAGAGACTTAAGTACATGCACTGTATTTTAGGGAAAGCTCAATTAACAAAAAAGAAAATTTGGATTGTAGCAAGAAAGATTCTTTTTAGTTTATAAAACTAAATTTTGGACATAATAAAATTTTGTTTTCTTTTTTGGAAATGTTCTTCCTCTATCCAAATAGAAAGAACCAAATGAATATACGTTAAGAGCAAAAGATATATGTCAGTCTATTGGTTTCCACGCGTGAAAGAATTGATAGTTTCAATGTTTAACAGGACTCAGGAGTGGATCAGTGGATTTACATTTTCAGCAGAATAGAGGGACAAAGTATTAATTAGTTTGGAAAACCCCAGCAAAATATAGAGCCGAAAATAATAGAGTGACAAAGCAATCAGATTTATAGATATGATAAGGGCATATATGCACCTTGCTTTGAACATGGATAAAGATCACCAGGCTGCCCATTTATCAACAAAGCATCAGACACAATCGGGTCTCCCCCACTATGTTGGAACTGAGTAAGAACATCTTGTATGTCACTCTTCCACCATTCTCCTGCATTAATCATCAATTTTGATTATTAATTTTGGTCTAAATTTGTCAAAAGCCATATCATACCAAAAAGGAAGAAAAACGGTATTAGATGTGTATGAAATTATGGATTACTTAAAAGTGTTTCTTTATAGTTTATACCTAAAATGATGGTGTTTTCTGCACGAGGCTGAGGAAATGGATAGTTTTCTCCTCTTTTCGGGTAAACGATAAAAGCACCATGGACTGTGGCTCTGGACCATTCGCTATGAGCATGCCACCATAATGTTCCAATCTCATCAGTCACCTGAATATTTTGGATAAAAGATTTTCCTGGCATTATAGGGCACTGAGTAATGTATACTGGACCATCCGACCATGGATTTCTCGGCAATTTGACTCCATGCCTAGGAACAAATCAAACCAATTAATCTGAGATTACACGAACAATTCACGTGTGATTCATTTGAAATATTTTCTTGCAAAAGGGCAAAAAAAAAAAAAAAACTGCTGCATACCAGTGAACAGTGATGTTTTGGTTTCCCTTGTTGTGGACATGAACAATGGCTGTATCGCCTTGACGGATGTGCAGACTTGGTCCTGGAAATTGGCCATTTACTGTCAAAATGTTCTTAGTGCTGCAAAGTCTTGTATATGGAGCCTCTTCAATCTGCAGTAGAGCATATTTGACCACGTATTAAAGCGCGCATATACACACAAAATAATCTGTCAATGTTTGTGCGATTGAGTCTCCACATTGGATAAGCTGTTAATGCATTAAAAATAACTTGCATCATAGATATGTTCATGCATGATGTTGAATTCTATTTTCTATTCGAGCAAGCTGCAGCTACAAAGAAATGCACATTTTTCTGCATGGCTTGCTGCTTCAACCTTCAAGATCTTGAGACAACTTTAATGCAAATAATGAAACCAAAACTTGCCAATTACACCTTAGGAGCAAATATTAGAAGGGAAAGCTGGAAGTAGCTAATATTTCACAAATACATACATATGTGCCATTGGATAACAAGTTAATATCCAAAAAAAAAAAAAAAGATTTCAGTTGATGCCAAAAAAAGGGACCGTAAGTGTTTATATTTATACAATCTTGACAATACAAACTGAATCTGTTGTTATTGATGAAGAAACACAACACTTACTATAAACGAATAGCGGTGCACCAAAGCCTGGCCAGGTAGAACACGTAGAACCACAAACAGTGTTAAGATGAAACCTTTCATGATCTGATCAATTACCAAATTACTTAATCAAATGAATAAGGTTTTGTAATGAAATCATTTGCATGAACCCTTCACGTCTCACGTATTTATAGATGTTGGATAAAGAAGGAATACTATATATCTGTTGTTTTTTTCTGATTGTACTTCATAGATATATGCCGGCCTTGTAATTTGCCTTTATTTTGTTGAATCTTACAGTTTCTTATCTCCAAATGTTGTAAATACGACCTTAATTATATCTGTCACATCCAACATACCTCTTACTACCTTTCCCAAAAAAGAAAAAAAAATACCTCTTACGATTTGCGTAGCCGGATGGGCCGGTGATTTTTCCAAAAAACTGCAAGCGTTTGGGTCCTTTTAATTTGTTGTCTACTTTGTGTCCATTTGATCATGGTTCACACTTGGGACGAAGGATGCTAACTTCAACTTTTGGACTCAATTTTGCTATTGGTATTAAAGTATGTTCCAATTTGTTCCATACGAATCTTAAAATTATAACCAAGTCAACTCTCATAGAGTACAGCTGGAAAAATATTCCTGTGATCTATGGTTACTTTTAGGAGTATTTTTCAAAGGCTTATTACTTTTGTAGTTTAATATTATTTTCTCTACAAGTAGGTTCTCCCAATTATGTTTCGAATTACCTCTTAGTGCTTTGCACCAGGATTTCGATTACCTCTGAGTATTAATCTAACTTTGTTGTGTGATTTCCAGTAATTTCGATTGTTGAAAAAAAAATTATTTTTCGAATGTAATTTATGCTTGTTTCCAGGAATGTTTTTAGATAATATCCCTTTGTTTTTTTTTTTAAGTTAAAATGTGTGTGAGAGATAATAATATGGTTGAGAACTTGAAACAACTATTGCGAGTAACAGAGGCTGTACATTTGTTTACGAGCACAGGCAAGTATTTAACAGAGGCTATCATGTGAATTATTTATTTACTTATTTTGGCTGAAGTGAGACTCCAAGCCTTACAAGAGGTGGGAGAAGGGGAAATAGAAGGGAGATGGGTTTAAGAGTCGAACCAAGGCTATCACGTTTATTGTGTTCTTATCAAGGGATTCAGTACCTTTTCAGTGGATTCTTTCTTTATTTTTCATCGCATACATTTGGATGCATGATATATATATATATATTTTTTTTCATTTACTAGAAAGGAATATGATCATTTTAAATTTGACTAATCCCAACCCTTGTTAGTAAATGAAGATACATATTATGTATCTAAATATGTATTGTGAGAAATGCAAAGGGAACAACTGCAGAGGAGCCAAGTTCCCAACTGAGTTGGTTTTGGGGATATTTTACGTTTTTTTTTTTTTAAGGGAGAAAGGGTTGTTCACCTAGCCAATATCCAAACTAGATGAGTTGGCTCTTGAGATGACATGAAATTTCTTTCTGTCAAATAAATGTGCATATAAAGATCTAAAATTTGGTAGGGAATCAAGTCACCATGAGCTCCCTATTTAAGCTCTTAAACTCTTCCCTTCCTCCTTCAAAAAAAGAAAACTCTTCCCTTTCCTGTCTGTCGGATAGATGCCCAACCCACTTCCGCTCGGGCCTGTTAACAATCGATTGGAAGAAACAGCCCACCTGTTAACCTTGTCAACCTAATGAGAAAACTGCATCCTTGTCCGGAACTTTTAAGAGTCCATCAGTCGAGTTTGGATTTGCGGATTAGAGATTTATGGTGTGTGTATTTTTTGTTTTTGTTTTTTTGGTAAGTGGGTGATTTATGGTGTGTTTGATAAAACTAAAATTTAAAATTTGAAATCTGAAATTTAAATTCATTAAAATTTTTTGCTTCTATGTTAACATCTATAAATACAATAAAAAAATTATTTTGACTCTATAAAATAATAAATCTTACATTTATCTAAAGTGATAAGTGAATAGTTTATTACTTATTTTTTAAAATATATTTTGCATAGAGAATTCAGAGTCATTTAATTGATTCAGACGTTTTATATTTTCTTATCAAATACATTTGAATATTTAAGATTTGAATCCATTAAATTTAAATATTGAATTTAGTTCTCAAACAATGTCCTAGATGCCAATGTTTAATAGTTACTTTTAGATATTTGCTTCGATGACAGCAATAATATTTCTCATTCAACTCTCAAACTCATTTTTTTTATATTTGCATTACAATAGAGTGTAAAAATTTGATTCGAAACCTATCTCTCTTAACCAAAACTTCTTATTGGAATGGAATTAACATCTTGTTAAAAATATAAGCATCATCACATGATCCATTGCTTTCATATACAATAATATCATTTCCAAAAAAGAAAGTATAAGAAGAAGAAAAGGAAATATCACATGTCAATGTTTCTCAACTTATTTTGTGTTGAACAATAACTTCAACGCTACAATATTCATATTAGCCAAGAAAGAAAGCGTAACAATGCAAGGCTTTTACTCTTGGTTGCTAGCAAATAAATGAAGTAAATTGCATCAAAGGGAGTATATCATTAATCTTGCAATTGGCCCAAGAGTATTAACATGGTGGCACGTCTGGAGGTGGAGGAAGCAATTGTTGTCCTGGAAGCTTGCCATTTTTGGTAAGGAAGGCCATATCCATTCCCCAGGTTAGATGACGCTCAAGGTGGCAGTGCAACAGCCAGACTCCTGCGAAAACACGCATGACCTTATGAATAATAGTAGTTGTAACAGCAAGAAATTAAAGATCACTACTAATTTATGGAAAACTGTATGCTATTTACTATAAACTTAAAGCACAATTATTACTTATAAGCAGGCATTAGAATTCTATGATTCGGGGACTTGGTAGTTCATAGTTCAAAGCTTCAACAGTTCTAACTACACATATCTCAATTTCTTAAGTTTGAAAGTTCTGTAAGTTAAGACTTTTTTGTCTTTTAAATTGCCCGCAATATGTAGGACTTGATTTCGAAATGTCAAACTTCAAAGTATTTCATTGCATTGCCAATACTAATTATGTTTTCTATACTTCTATTAGAGAACAAAATTAAACTGTGCTAGCTATGAAAGTCCAAATTTGTCGTTCATGAAAAAGTTAAAGCTGTCTTGCGTCAGCGCCTCTACGGGCTTTCCTATCTTTTTTGTCTTTGATAACAGAAAACTCAAAGAAAAGAAGTAACACGTACCAGGGTTATTTGCCTTGAATCTAATGGCGGTCCAACCATTTTTAGGAACAGCAATTGTGTTCATCAGAGGAGGGTCGACAAGATTATACTTTAAAGGGTCTTTTTCCTTGTCATAGTTTCCAATACCTGCACCAACTACATAGAAACTATGTCCATGTAAATGCATGGGATGATCTATTCCAGCAACCAAATTTGTTCCCTGGAACACAAGCTCCACACTCTTATTATATTCAAGAACTCTAACTCTAGTATCCCGAGTTGGATCTTGCAACGTCGCCGGAAGACTATCTGCGGTGAAATTGAATACGAAAGGTGGAAATCTGGGAAAATTTTTTCTAAAGACTCCTCTTAGGCTATAATAGTAAGCTTGGAGTATATCAATCTGAGGTTGCACAAAACTTATGTTGTTTATGCTCGTTGCAAATCGCTGCCCTTGAGGTCCAGCACAAGTGTTGTTTGCCTCACAAGGGCGTAAATTCACAGATAGTGTAAAGTAAAGCTTAGTGTCCACGTGTGTTGGAACATCAACTTTTCTTGCTAAGCTTCTTAGGCTCCACGTGAAATTAGTTGATGCTTTTATATCATTAGACACTGGAAGGTTTGGGAAGACTGGTGGCGAATACGGAGTATAATTTCCTATGTATTCTATGATAGCTGTGGTGGTCGTGTTGTCGGTTCCAACCTGAGCGGCACTGTTATAAGCCTTAGCGGCCATGTAATAGTGATCAGGTTTTTGATCGGCTTCTAGCAAGCAGTCAATGGTTTGGCCGGGGGATATAGCAACGTAGTCTGTTTTCAGTGGCCTCGTGTAGCTGCCATCTGATCCGACAACAGTGATTGTATGATTTGCTATGGAAAAGAATAGGATGCTGTTCATGGCGGCATTGACCATTCGGAGCATGTAAGTTTTGCCATATTCCACTGCCAGCTTAAATGTGTCTGCAAGAATTTGTGAATATATAATTAAGATTGAGCGAATGAAACCAATTGTATCATCAAGAAGAATTTGGTTGAACTAGAACATTAATGTGAGGATCATGAATTATAACAAGAGCATGCAGTAGGAAGGAGTACAGCGACCTAAAATAATTGCGGAGAATCATGAAGTAGAATAATGCAAAATAATGCGTGTAATTTGAGCAAAATAATGCAAAATAATTGTTTTTTTTTTTTTGATAAGATAATGCAAAATAATTGTGATCGATACCTAAGGAGAAAAATAAACAGTGACTATGAACAGGAATGTGATTATAAAAGCATCATCCGTACAAGGCGAAAGCGAAATATATTAAAGCAACTTTTAACAGTATTGACAATAAGAACCGATCTATTAATTAGTTTTACTGCAAAACAATTGGAAGTCTACTTTCGCGTAGAAAAATTGCAAAGAAAAATTGTTCTACTTTGGCGTAGAACAATTTTCTTTGTGGTTCCAAAATTCCACAAATCTGGACAGCAGAGCTACATGTGTGTGTGTGTGCGTGTGTGACTTTTTATTTGCATTATTTGGCCAACATGGAAAGTAGAAGTTTGGATGAAAGAGATGTGCTTCGGCCAAGAATTGGATATTCCAAAGTACTTTAACCTCATCCTCACTAACACACAAAATAAGAGAAATTCCAAAAATTTCGTGGCCACATACCTGGTTTTGAGCATGGATACCGATCACCAGGCTGACCATTTATCAAGAAAGCATCAGAATTGTTTGGGACTCCTCCATTACTTCGGAATTCGGAAAGAACCGCTTGTACATCACTCTTCCACCATTCTCCTGCATGAAAACATCATCAAACTTAAACCTAGAAATTGTTTTCTGATTTATTCATGTCAACGTACGTGCAAAAATATCGTAGCATTTGAG